GTAACACATTTAGGAAGCCCTGATGATGGTAAAATCTTTATTAGACATTTTGGCCAACTAATTTTGGTAACACATTTGGGAAGCCCTGATGATTTTAACCGTGTAACTGAAACTAGGTGGTCGAAATATCTAATAAAGATTGTACTTTTCACTGTGCTAAAAATGTTGTTTTTTGCTCATAATATTACTAATTGTTTGTATCTACAGAAGCAGCCAGGTCATAAAGGTCACTTGGTAATATATTCAAGATGAAGTCTGTTTATGTAACCTACTAATCTAATTGTAAATTTGTAAAAGTACAAATTATCAGTTGCTGGTATTCTCATGTGTTCATTAGCAATACATGTAAGAATAGTAACCAAGAATAACAGGAGGAACAGCATAAAATCTTTTATAAAATGTAACTGAGTTTCTGATTTTCACTGGAGTTTGAAGAAATGAATGAAACACAGTGTAAAACAAAGTATAATTTTTTTTTAATACAAAAAGAAATCAACTTTAAGACACAACACTGAACAGTGTGTTCTCTAAATGGAGAAAGAGAGCTATCATTGGATGATATGAAGTAAGAGGGGAAGAATACAGGTCGTTGGTGGAATGATGAAGTCATGAATAACATATTGATTCTGGGTGTGGCAAGCTCAGTGATACCTTGAGGTCATTGTGGCAAGCTCAGTGATACCTTGAGGTCATGGCCTCCTCATTTTTCCCAGAATCAATATGTTATTCATGATTTCATCATTTCACCAACAAAAATAAGGAGGTCATGACCTCAAGGTATCACTGAGCTTGCCACATGACCAAACCCTTTACAGTAACTACTTAGCATGCAAAGCTGTATAGTTTTTCAGTGGTCTCTACCATGGGAAGGCTTTGAATAACACCAAACAGGAACAACCTATAACAACAACAAAAAAAACAGCATTCTAGAAGCAAAATGTTCACTTTTCTAAATTTAAAAAGAAAACACCTACTGTATGTGTCATACAACATAAACACTAGTAGACTGTAAACTGTGTAAATACACTACCTTCACCCATGTGAACTGTAAAAAACACCTACTGTGTGTCTCATACTACATAAACACTAGTAGACTGTAAACTGTGTAAATACACTACCTTCACCCGTGTGAACTGTGAAGGTAGTGTATTTACACAGTTTACAGTCTACTAGTGTTTATGTTGTATAAGACATACAGTAGGTGTTTTTTAACCAGTGTGAACTGTAAAAAACACCTACTGTGTGTCTCATACTACATAAATACTAGTAGACTGTAAACTGTGTAAATACACTACCTTCACCCGTGTGAACTGTAAAAACACCTACTGTATATCTTATACAACATAAACACTAGTAGACTGTAAACTGTGTAAATATACTACCTTCAACAGTGTGAACTGTAAAAAACACCTACTGTATTGTATGTATCATACTACATAAACACTAGTAGACTGTAAACTGTGTAAATACACT